AATCAATGTGGTAAAGTCTTTGCAAGTAAAAGTCATCTTCACAGTCATGAAAGAATTCATAGTGGAGAGAAACCCTATGAATGTAATCAATGTGGAAAAGCATTTGCGTGGAAAAGTCTTCTTCACAGACATGAAAGAATTCATACTGGAGAGAAACCCTATGACTGTAATCATTGTGGTAAAGCCTTTGCACGTAAAAGTGATCTTCAAAGTCATGAAAGAATTCATAATGGAGAGAAACCCTTTGAGTGTAATCAATGTGGTAAAACATTTGCACAGAAGAGTCATCTTTACTATCATGAAAGAAATCATACTGGAGAGAAACCCTATGAATGTAATCAATGTGGTAAAACATTTGCATGTAAAAGTCATCTTCACAGTCATGAAAAAATTCATAATGGAGAGAAACCCTATGAATGTAATCAATGTGGCAAAGCTTTTATTCGTAAAAGTCATCTTCGCAGTCATGAAAGAATTCATGTTGGAGAGAAACCCTATAAATGTAATCAATGTGGTAAAACATTTGCAAGGAAAAGTGATCTTCACAGTCATGAAAGAATTCATAGTGGAGAGAAACCCTATGAATGCAATCAATGTGCCAAAGCCTTCACACGTAAAAGTCATCTTCACAGTCATGAAAGAAGTCATACTGGAGAGAAACCCTATGAATGTAATCAATGTGGCAAAGCATTTGTACATAAAAATTATCTTTATTATCATGAAAGAAAACATACTGGAGAGAAACTCTATGAATGTTATCAATGTGGTAAAGGATTTGCATGGAATAGTTCTCTTCATAGACATGAAAGAATTCATGTTGGAGAGAAACCCTATGAATCTAATTAATGTGGTAAAGCCTTTACACGGTAAAATGATTTTCACAGTCATGAAAGAAGTCATAATAGAGAGAAATCCTATGAATGTAAACAATGTAGTAAAGCCTTTACATGTAAAATCATCTTCACAATCCTTAAAGAAGTCATATTGGAGAGAAAACTCTGAAGGAAATCAATGTTGTAAAAGCATTTGCTTAGAAAATTCATCGTCATAGCCATGAAAGAATTCATCCTGGAGAGAAACCATATGGATGTAATCAATGTGGTAAAGAATTTGCTGTGAAAAACTTCTTCACAATCATAAAAGAATCATACTGGAGAGAAAGGCTGTGAACATAATGTTGTAAAGCATTCACTTATAGCAGTCATCTTCAACTCACGAAAGAATTAATGGTGGAGATCACCTATTAATGTATTTAATGTGGTATAGTCTTTATATAATATTTCAGTGTTCTTAAACAACATGAAAGAAATCACACAGGAGAGAAGGTCTATTAATGTGGTAGAGCATTCATATATAAAGTCATCTTCACAGGCATGAAAGAATACATCTTTTCTAGATTTTCGTAGAGAAAAATCCCTTGAACCTTATAAATCAGGTAAAGCTTTGAACACCAGGCGCAGAATACATCATTTTAGAGATGCCAGTACCATGTGGTGTCAACCAAGACCGTCAGCAGTAGTAAAGTGGAACCAGTAAGGGCCTAGAAATTATGTGTACTGAAGAGCACAGAGCCAAAGAAGTGACCCAAGCCCTTTGGAGAATCCCTGAAGATTCTGCGTGGATCCCAGTCACTAGAGGTTGAGTTAATTTATACAGTCAGACGTTGTTTTTGCTTTTTTCAGGTTTGGACTGCCTTGCTTCTTCCTCTTGCATAGAGACAGTATTTAATTTAATTTTGATTTTTCCATGAGCCATATTTGAAAGGCTTAGAATTTTTAAACAGATTTTCAATTTTTAGTTAGATTGCTTGTTTTTAAAAAGAAACTTAATTTCTATGAATTTATAAAGATTGTGGGACTTTTATTAAAGTTATCTGTTTCTAATGAAGTATATTGTGAATGAATGAGAAAGGAAAGGTTGTGGCATAATAGTGCCATGTTTGTGTGTCAAGTTGAAAAGTGGTCAGTTACACTGGCTAGTCCTATGTCAACTTCACAAACAAGCTACAGTTATCAAAAAAGGGAACTCAATCGAGAAAACTCTATAAGATCTGGCTCTAAGGCATATTCTTTATTAATGATTGATGGGGAGATATCCTAGGTTGTATACGAAAGCAGGCTGAGCAAGCCATGGGGTTAAGAAGCCACCCTGCATGGCATCTGGATCATCTCCAAGTTCCTGCCTCATTCAGGTTTCTATCCTGACTTCCTTCAGTGATAAAAAGCAACATGGAAGTTTAGGCCAAATAAACCCTTTTGTCCCCATTATGCTTTTTGGTCATGGTGTTTCATTGCCAAAATCCTATGACATGTTATCAGAAAAATCCAAAATTAGGGTTGTGGACAGATGGCTCAGCAATGAAACACTGGCTGTTCTTCCAGAGGACACAGTTTCAATTCCCAGGATCAACATGGGAGTTCACAACTGTCTGTAGGCCTCTTTCAAGGTATACAACACCCTCACACAGACTTAGATCCCAACAAAACACTGATGAATATAAAGTAAAAGTAAATTATGTTTAAAAGAATATATCACATTATGGAACTTTCCCTAACATAATCTGGACTCATCTCTACACAATTAAATTTTTTGTTGTCTTCATTCACATTAAGAGAACTGTGTTTACAATTACAATAAGAAGCAATGGTCAGAGTCTATTCACAGAGGGATAAAAAGCATTCAATCCTTCAGAGATCATACAGGAAATTTCATCACCTCCCAGTGATGGAAGACAGAAACAATAATAGCACAACTTCATCTTCTACAATATAATAACATATTGGCATGTTGAGAATTTGACTCATTTGTAAAGCTGCGGTTGGGTACCCAATTTGGTTCTAATCACCCACGTCAGATGGCTCAGAACGGCTTATAAAGCCTTGTCCTGGAGAGAGGATGCATTCTTCTGGCTTCCTAGGGCACCAGGTATGTAAATGGTACAAAGACAATTTGTGTGTGTGTGTGTGTGTTTGTGAGACTCCATATTTTTAAAAGAACTTTCTTCACTTATATGTTATTTTTTTTCTAAAAATGAAAATAAAATTAATTATATTTATTATCAGACATGGTCTTGGAAAGGAGTCATTTGAGGAGAATTCTGAATACTTATGTTAACACTCCAAGAAAATGAAACAAAAGTCTTGTGACCTCAGTTTCTTCAAATCCAGAAATTGTTCTTGAAATGTGTTTTTGTGCAGATAGATGTGATTGGAGTTCTGGTTACTCATTATTGCTTGGTGGTGTTGCTGAATTAAATGTTTGACCTACCCTTTATATGCCTGAATGGAAAAACATATTTTTGTCCCATGTGGTTTGCTCTATCATTGTATACAACTTTAACTCATGAGAACTTCACTCATGTAACCTTTCTTAACCTGCAGAGTGTAAATTGTCTCAGGCAATGAATAAAGTTGTCTCTTGTATGAGATTTTAATTGTCCTTATTTATCAGCTCCATTCTCCCAGGTCCCATTATTACTACAGCCTCCTTTACATACATATGCTCCATATTCTGAAACTGACTCTGAAGCATGGGGTGAGTAATTTAATGATCAGTCTAATCTTGAATTCTCTCCGTTTTGGTGAATATTTAGAAGAGCCTATGATAAAATTGACTTTACTTACAAGTTTCTTTCTGGCCTCATGAAGTATGGTTAGTATTTTCAATGCAACTTCAGCAAAATCAAACAGTTTAACACCTAATTATGCACTAACCAATCCATTTAAACACTAGTATGAGAGATGGAATTAGAATATATTCACATACTATCTATAGAGGCAAAAATTAACTACAGCTATTTCAATCCAGACCAAAGAGGTATTTGTGTATCCTGTAGATCCTTTGCTGCTTCAAAAGTACTTATTTACCCCACTGAATTGTTACCCACAGATATTATATCACAAGAGGTAAACTGTTGGAATGAATGGATATACACTCTAAGCCCAGAAAATACTAATTGGCTAATGGCAGGTTTACTCAGGCCTACAGATATTCCTAAAGATTGACCTTCAGTAGTTTTGGATTTAAAACATCGCTTTTAAAGTATACTTATTCATCCTGATATCATGCATTTTGCCTTTTGTGTTCCCTCACTCAAACATAAAATACTTCTGCTCCAATACCAATGGACTGAATTGTCTCAAGGCATGACAACCTGCTCTACTATGTGTCAATACTACATAAGAAGTGTGTTAAAGCCTGAGAAGCAGGCCTTCCCTTAGCCTTATGTCCTATCTACCTGCTCCAGAGAAGAACAGCTCCAATTCATATATGATATGACATATGATATGCCAGAAAACAAACAAACATAAAGCAATGGACTTATTATTGTACCAAAATGCAACAATGAGGGGCTGGAGAGATGGCTCAGAGGTTAGGAGCACCGACTGCTCTTCAAGAGGTCCTGAGTTCAGTTCCCGGCAACCACATGGTGGCTCACAACCATCCGGAATGAGATCTGGCAACCTCTTCTATGCACATAATAAATAAATCTTTAAAAAAAATGCAACAATGATCAGACACTGTGTAATATTTAGGAAAACCACTTCCTAGAACAGCTGCTAAACCACACAAACACAAAAATTCTTTAGACAAGACAACTGAAAAACACTTAATGACTTTAGGAATTGTTAGAGGGTATTAATTGGCTATGTCCTCCTTTAGGAGTACCTAATGATGCACTAACTAGTCTATTTGAAACTGCAAAAGGAGAGACATCATTGGTTGGTCCTCACATATTACCTCGAGAGGCAAAGTAAGAACTACAGGTATTTGAATCCAGACTACTAGAGGCATTTGTGGATCCTGTGGATCATTGGCTCCCTTTAAATGTACTTATTTTCCTAACTAAGTTGGCTCATACAGGTATTACAGCACAGAGGAGAAAACTGTGAAATGGACTTATTCATACCATATCAGCTTTCCTTGCTTCTCTTGCTCAATTACTGAACCAGCACAATATCTAATGTCAAAAAATTTTACAGACTTGAATGTTGCTATACTATATAACCTTTGAAGAAAAACCAGTGTTTAAGTGCATTAAAGAATTGTATGGACTTTTAAATCATGTGCAGATTACTGTGGAAAGATAGGAAATCATTATCCAGTTGGCAAGAGAGAGGTTTTCTCATATGACCTGAATTTGTAATTATAAAAATTATCTAACTTCTCTCATTCCACCAGCATAAACTTATTTTATTTATGGCTTATCTAATGGATTAGGAAGGATTCATAGATAAGATATTCATCAATTTATTAATACTTGTTTTCCCTGAGCTCAACAGGTAGAACTTGCTGTTGTGATTCATGTATTTTAGAATTATTTTATAAACCTGAAAATATTGTTTCAGATTTTGTTTATGTTGTTTATAGAAATTGCTTTAATGTTATCTTCACTGCCTGTTTTGTTTCTTATTACTACAGGAACAGAAACAATTGATGAAAACTCTCAGGATTCCTTTCTTTGTTACTTATTCTTCTGCTTACTCTGGCCTGCCTGTTTTTATTACAGAAGGAAATAAGCCAGCTGATGCATGAGTCTGCCTTATTTCTTTCCTCTCTAGAACAGGAACTTCAGCACCTACCCACTACTGCTAATATACTTTATGTACAGGGCCCATACCACTTAGAGAAGGGAGAAATTATACGGGAAGACACTGCTTATATCCTTTTACACTGTCAGAGTTACATAGCTTGAGTTAATCCAAGAGTTAAAAATAATAATGAATTATGCCAAATGGCTGTCATTCCCTTTGTTCTTGAACCTCAGTTGCCCTATATGCATGTGTTCATTTATGCATATTGTAATTTTTTTGGACTGTACCTCAATCCTCAGAAAATTCTTCTGCAAAATAACCTCTTATACAAACTTTTTCTGTTATGGGAGTTCTTACTATAAAATTTGCAATGGAATAGAATTTATTGATTTCAAAACACCTGCACTCCTAGGCTCCATATTCCAGCCTGAAACACTGGAAGAAGGCTTGTG